ATATCATGCTGAAGTTTTTTGAAGAGCCACAGGTCCCACCCAATGTTTTTTTACGCAAAATAATACGCATCAGAATGGATTCATTGGCTTTTTAAAACACCGACATTACCTTTCTGTGCTTTTCGCTTTTCAGCTGCTGCAATTTTTCGCCGGATTGCTTTACAGTCAGCACAGCACCAATCCAGAGGTGCTGGTCCAACACCAAGGCGAGCACATTGGAAGTGATAGCACCTATTACAATCTGCGCAAAGCACCAACGCTTCCGCATTTGCCTTACGACGACACGCACGGCAGCGCGCCTGAACGGTAATAAATTTGCATTGAGATGGCGAAAGGCATAAATCTTCCCGAATGGGGCACTCACTTGCAATCTGCTTTTATCCCACATGATAGCTGGTTCTAAAGTGGACAAGAAAAGGCACACAGCTGGTATGGAGTCGCACATCAATAAAGCTCGTTGCCACCTTAGGAATACAGGTGTAGCCATAACTATGCTACGACCAGCTGGAACATGAGGTTTTAATATTGACTACGATAGCGTGACCAAAAAAGAAAGTGTTATTTGCGTGCATAAGCGACGGCACTTTCTTGACACAGCTAAAAACTTTTCATCGAACCCACTTTCGTCAACTTTAGTAACACTGAACGGCTTTTGGAAGAACTTCAAACTGATGCACTGAACTAGCTGCAGGAATGCGACAGCGAGCCTGAATTTTAGTGACATTAGCAAGAATCGTAGCCGCTGACCAAAGTTTTGGAAGAAAGTAGCAAAACCAACTTCTGAATTTCAGTGAGCCGTGGCAGTTCATCTTTTGTCCATACAACGTCATCTTGAGCACCTTTCACGACAACGTCTCGATCCATTAGCGAAGTGATGTCTCCCGTGTCCAACAGAACGTCACGCCAAGTCTGACGATCAATATGCGACGGTAGGCGACCAAGTAATCCCTGCTCCATCTAGACGAAGATTTTTACTGATGTAGAAAGAAATAATGGCTGTAATTATATGAGTTGACCCTCCCCCCTCCGTCATGACCAAAACAATACCTTCTCTTCTAGATCCAGGAGTAGTTCACGTAGTTCTATCGGCCATTCAACACCACTCTGCATTTCTGCAGGATCTGGTTGGCCGACCATGAACAGTGCTTGGAACTGACCATTGGCTAACTTCGTCTCCTGAACAACAAGAATTTCTGCATAAAAGTCTCAAACACAGAGACGTGCACGTGATGAAGGGGTCGTATCACAGGGGAAGTTGTATTGATGGAGATTTCCGCCAGATCTTAGCTGCTGCTTTTCGAAGAAAAGCGTAAGCGCGGACGAGGTGATCCTAAGGCTTCGTTCCTCCAGATTACGATGCCGGAGTCTATCACAGCAATGAATTCGTGACGTTGTTTCGTTGGCTAACAACTGGTGATGATGACATTATGGATCTACCTCCTAAATGGTCAATGCGCGCACTGCTAGCAAGTATAGGTCTACCGTAGGTCGCAACTCTGGGAAGCCCTATAACAAGAGATAGAGCTAGTTATTTTATTCACACAAGAGACCCTCAGTAGTGAGATCAATTCCCTTCGTGATTTCGTTACCCAACATTGTAATCTAGGTCTTTGCTAATTTCACAGCTCAAAGTTGAGAAGCAATACTCGGGCTTTCGATCTTTAAAAAGCAGTTACCGCCTTGAGGCCCGATAGGCCGCATTTGGCAGCGAGAGCTGCGTCTAATTCTGATCGAATGCAAAACGAAATTCCATTAAGGAAATAGGGACGGCACGAGATATCGCTCAGTTTGAGGTCATAAAATGACCATCCATCCCAATATCAAGTTTCCTTGTGCTGATTCAGTAGACCGCCTCGAACCAACTGCAAAAACAAGGCTTCACAAGCCTTTTGGGGGTTTCCTGCCCTATTTCCATGATCAGTAAACCGAATAGTACTTGCACCGATTCTCGGCCCGGAAAAACAAAACTGGGTCGGCATGAATATCCAATTGGGTTAAATTCACAAAAGGAATAATCTTAACACAAACTTCTGTTCCGAATTTTGCCTGATTCCTCACCACTTTCTCCATGACTTCAACGATACGCGGACGGAAAAATGTGATTTCCTCAGCGAGGTCGATTTCACGAACACCACGAGGATTACAAGCGGTCACAATCTGGAAAATAATTACATCTGACCAATAATTCCATGCACAACGGCACACGGAATGCGTTTGCCCTACAGCACTTATAATTCTCTGTTCGGCCTCTTGCCTCTACAGAATATCATTGGAGCTTTTTCACATATCCGTAATAACTTCCATGTGATCATGAACACTGGCTAAACGGACACATTCAAACACTTCTACATCTAATCGTTAAAGGCAAAGGTCGGGCTTAGTGAACCTAACCAACCCTTTCGGTCATTCCTGTAATTGGTTACGCACCCATAGAGATGTTCCCATGCTCAAAATCTCAAACGACGCGGTAATAAGGCCTCAGGGCACGTACTATGCGCTATCGCCGCCTAGCCCCGCTACGACCGCCCACCTCGGGATGTGGCATAACGTGTGAAATCAGCTAGGTTGATAGCCGTATCAACCGATAGAACGACTGATATCTTCAGAAAACTTGCTTGTACGTGCCTCTTCCCCAAGCCAGCCTCCTTCACTGCTAGTGGGAAAGAGGGTTTTGTTAACGGCCTTGTCGACGGTTTTTCTCAGTTTTTTCTCCACTGTCGTTCCACTTCGCATCTCTATACTCAGTTTCAATCGCCATAATACCCCCTTATTGAGCCCGACTTTTGCCTTTAAGACACTGAAAGAGCCACAAGTGTAGGCTAGCTCGAAAATATATCAAACTCAGAGCATCAAAAAATGGTTTTATCATGCGAACATACCTTATCCACCTTCTCAAGGGAATCAACGAATGTCCACCTTGGCCGTCGTTTCCGCCCTTCGCCATGAACCGAGCAAGTGTTCATATTTCCTGAACATCCCAGCACGAACTGACGAGTAGCTTCCTCACTACCATATTCGCTCTTAAAATTAATTGTAGCTGATACAGTTGAACGAGTTCCAGGGCAGAAAGTACGCATTCACTTACGGAATCTGCAACCGGCGTTGCTTCACAACAAACTCCAACATTGTCAGCTTCAATGGGATTTTCAACAATGAGGCATGGCACGCACTCTAGCAGAAAATAATTCCGGAAGGCACGGTCTCGCCCGAGGTGAAGCTGTCCTGCTACCGCTGAATTTGTGAGAAATTAACATAGCGGCAAAAAAGCAGGCTCTTGAAGTTTTAAAAGACGAAGTGTTGATTGATCCATTTGCAACATGAACATTCATTTTAATAAACTCACTTGTGAGATTATAAATCGATTCTAGCAACTTCATTTCAACTTCTTGGACTTTTTCACGCTGTAGATCTCGTGCCAAGATGATTTCGTTATAGTCGAGCTCGCTGTAAGCAACACCAGCGAGCAACATCTGTAATATCATGATTACATAATTATTGATTACAATCATATGGAAAGAGGAAAAATTTGTCAATGACCAACCTGTTCCATTTCATCCCGATCAAAACGCCGTGAATCTTGAATAGCTTTCAGATGTTGTTTTAATTTCAACGTATCCTCGCTAGGAGCTGGCCATTCCTTCATTTGTTCTTTTGCAGCTTCCTGACCTTGTTCTTCAATGAGCTCCAGTTCGTATTCACGAGCCAGACGAGCATCCTTGGCCTCCTGAATTGGGTTTGATAGAGAGTGACCAATCTATGCTCATAGTTCCCGCTATTTTATCTTTGGATGACCAAAAGGAAACCATGCTGGCTTCAACAGTCTATTAAGGTCTGAAGCTAAAGCTGTAACTTGCCTATGCTGACGACTGCAAGAATGTCGTTGCTTCAGCTTAAAGCAACAGTCCAGGCAGGGTTTCAACTACTTGGTCATTAGGCGGTCAAAACATGCCCCAGCCCAACTAAAGTTTATAGGAAATGTCTTTAAGTTCAAAACCTACCTCTAAAATGCGCTGGAAGGGGTCGAAGTCCTCTTGGAGGGGGCGGATCACCCATAAAGAGGCGGATCGCCCAACATACGCTGTGCAGAGTCCGTGCTTGACTAGCGGTCGTTGCGGGACCGCCGCGCTGTATGAGGTCGATTCCATAAGAACGCAATTGAAGCGCTTCAATTTCGATTGCTGGCAAGTAGTTATGTATTTGCAAGCATGCAGCTATTTGCCAGCAGTTGCAATTAAAGCGCATGTACTACGGGCAGGTTCGGACAACTCGTCCAACACACGTCTCCCTAAACGGCAGGGCATGTCCCTGTCTAAGCCCCAGTTGGGCGTTTTCTTCACTTTTTCTCTTTACGTTCGACCACTTTTCACCTACAACTTCCATATAGGTGCTTTTGGCCCGCAAATTCGTTCCTGGACTGTTGCTTTAAAATGGGGCATCATTTGCAAATCATGGTGATCATGTCCATAAAGACAAAGAGAAGCAGTGAGAGCGATGATGCTTCATGTAACGTTCTAACAAATGGAAGGATCTTGGAAAGATCATCTGCATCTAACCCAAGTGACAGTGTCTCATTCAAATCCGTTTGATGTGCACTTCCAATCCTCAAGTTCACGAAGCGCACACCAGATTATATGATGAGGAGCACTGTCGTTCGCTTTTCCGAGGTCTAGAAAGGTCTGGAAGGAGCGGCTTTTGTGCCTTACAACCTCCTGTAATGATCGCTGGTGTATATAGTGCCCAGTGGCTGATTCATCCTGACATACTTTGAAATTCTGCCTCCAAAACTCGAAGGTTCGTTAAGCGAGGAGTAAATATAATTGCTGGAATGGCCGAGCTTTCAAAACTTCTTCAAACCTCATTACAACTTTCCAAACTTCCTGAAAAAGTTTGCTGCTTCCCATAACTTTCCAAAAATACGACCTTCTTATGCTGATACGAACTCTTTCCTCAAAATCACAGAATACGGGAAAACATTCCTCGTTGGGGAACTCCCTGACAGACGGTTAACCCTGTTCGAGAGTCGAAAAATATGCGCCAGCAGTAGAGCCACATAAATTTGATGGTGAGTCTAATTCAAGACTTATAACCCCTAAAAAGTGGAGCATAAAAGAAGGATTTAGAAACTTCGGAAACATACCTTAATGTCGTACTTCTCATTGCGTACCAAACAGGAATTCTTCAAATATAATTTCAACTTTGGTTTTGAAGCAACGCTCCTAGCGCGACTGAAACAAAAGAAAATTTTATTTCACAGAATTTTCAGCCAAGAAAGAGAAGTCAATAAGGCGGGGATATTTTGAATGAGGTATACAAAACAAAGTTTATACTCAGATGAACCTGACTCGAATCAATTTCTATTTTATGCGGGAGATTTTCTAATAGAATTCGTCGGGTGTTTTTCAGAATGCAACGTTTCAGTTCTCTCTGAAAGCTAACTTTAAGATCATCAGAAGGCGAGTGAAGATGTAATGATAATATTAGAGCTTCCTTCAAAGAGCGCCGGAATTTCGAGTCCTTGAAGCGATCAGCACTTTGCGCCTTCTCTGGCGGTATTATGGTGAGTGCAAAAACTGCTTGCATGTTTTGTAAGACCGGCCTTATACAGTGAAGAAGGGAACTGAAGTGGTGGCCTATACTTAAACGATTTCAGAGAAAGAAAAAACGCGATGGAACGAGAAACAAGATTGAGTTCTTATAGTGTATGCACACGTGCGACACTATTAGACGAATTGATCGAAAAATAGCACTCGCAAATGAGAATTTGAGCCGAAAAAGGTTTTCAACAGGGTTTTTTTTTCGCTGCAAGAGTAGTATCCTCCTGAGTACAATGAGCGGTTAAAGAGAGGAATTTCGAGGCTGCCAGGATGACAAGTATAAGATATCGCATGAGCTCAGTTATTCATTTTTTAATGAACGGCTTCATAAAAAACGCAGCTCTTGAAAGCCAACACTGAAGCTTGCCCTTTATGCCCCCTTTCTCAGCGTGAAAGAGATGGAACGAGAAATGGGAAGGCTTTGAGCGTAGATGCATGAGCTTAATTCACTGAAAAGGTGGACTCTGCGAATAAGCTTCTCCTTCTATGATATCATAGTGCTACCGTTGTACTTCGGCTTCCTACACTAAAAAAAGTCGATTTGATGCTTGTCTTGCATGATACCGATGTGTTGCAAGGGGGATGGATTCTAGAACAGAAGCATACAAAAACAAAGAGATCAAAAAGAGCAAAAGCGATCAAAACGAACTGTAAGGACGTGTGAGGAACGAGAGGATCGTCGGAGCTCTCGAGCAGCGAATCCGGGCCAGAACCCAAAGGGTTCGCTTCCAAGAATTTGACCGAATAGCGGAATATGTCCGGGGGAGGAACTTGTGGCTCCTTAC